TATATATATATATATATATATATATATATATATATATATATATATAGAGAGAGAGAGAGAGAGAGAGAGAGAAATGGGTATGCTTGGTACCAAGCACAAAAGGTTGTGCTTGGTAGTGAGGTGTCACATCTCCTCCACTTATTCAAATAGTTGTATATCCCCATGCACTCCTCAACCCATTTGAATGTGGTCTCTCATTTGAATGAGTAAAGAAGATTATGTCACCTCACTATCAAGCACAAAATTTGTGCTTGGTAGCAAGCATACTCATTTTTCTCATATATATATATATAATTTATTTATTGAGCTAATTACATTTTTAAATAGAAACAATTCTCGAGCCTCCTACCAAGGAAAGAGAACCTTTTACAATCCTAAAGAGTGAAGATAACAACGAATGTTAATGCAAGTATCAATAAAAGAATAGAACATAAAGAATAAGGAGTTGAGAGAGTTTAATATGAAAAATATTAAATATTTAAGAAATCATGTTTTCAAGATTTGTGGTTGCAAAACCCTTCCTAAACAAGAAGTTATCAGTTTCTATTTAGACTGTGGAGCGGAAGTAAAGAATACACATTTATGAAAGCAAAGTTGGTTTCAATCGAGTTGATTTGAACCGAGTAAGGAAATGAAGGATCAAATTGGGCTCTCTTCTTCAAATTAGCACACAATAAAGCAGGCCAAAAGAAGACTTTAAGATTCTAAGGTGGGATAAGGGCTTTTTGTTACAGTTTTTTGAGAAAGAAATGCATTTGCTTATTTCCGTTAAAGTGGGCTTTTGAGGAGTCACACAACACATGTCTGTTAGAGATACATACACAGTACATTAATATCGGGTTGAAAGGATTAGTACGCTTGGTAACTCAAGTAAAAAAAGCAAGTATAATTATGCTTGGCACATATTTTAAGACATGAAGTATGACTGCTTCATCAATCATTAATTCAATAATGTAGTATTTGTGTCAGTTAAAGAAGTTGCTGCAAATTATAACATTCATTGAATTTGTGCCCTAGCCAGATTTCATTAGGAAGAAAGCCAAATTATCAACCATAGGTCATCCTCTTTTTATAGATTGAATTTCTTAAGAAAGCAAATGACCGGCCGGTTAATAGGATATGATTGTGGGGTCGGCATATTTGTGCTATGCAAGGAAGTTTCTATTTTGAGCATTTTGGGTCGAGTCAGGGACTTATGAAGCATGAGATATTTTAGGACAAGAGTGAAACGACTTGAATATCCTTCATTTAGAAAAAGACTCCAGTGAGGGAAACACAAAGTTTCAAAAGACTTAAATAAATGTTGAATCTGAACCTTACTTTGCAATGACACTATGAATGTGATGATGAGCTTAAGTGTAATAAGGGTTGAGGTCAAGTGGTGATGACCTTAAGATGTTTGGAAATCGGCTTTTATAAATTTGTAGAAGACTGATTTGGGGTGTGGTGGCATAGGTCTATATGCGAAAGAGAGAGAGGGACAAATTCTGCAGGGGGCATTCATATGCTTGTGAAGGAGAGAAAGCCCTGAGGTGTTCATGGATCTGTGGATGCATGAGACTGTAATGGACTATAGGGTGAGATTGAGACGAAAGCCACAAACAAATGTGCAATAAAGAGAGGGCAATTTATGTGATAGAGCTGAACCAATATGAACAACGGTAAAACAGGAAGAGATAATTTCCAGTTAAAGTAGCCCCTGCAATTACAATTGAACAAGCTCAAGAATATCTGAAGTAACTTGATAGTTTTAATGGAGGTATTTCAAATAACAAACATTTGAGGAGGTACATCAAAGTACAGGCGAGAATCAAGATAATCTAAAGGAACCTATAACATCACTTTAAAAACAAGTAAGAAAATACCAAGCTACTATAGCTTATTTGATCCTGTCCCCAAAGACGAGAAATGAAGGTAATATTGCGCTATCAAATCACAAAGCAATTACTGACCTACTAGAATGTAGTGGCAGATTAAAAACTTTAAAACTTATAAAATACAGCAAGTTCCTTCCATTTTAATGAGTTCGTGACAATAACTACTTAAAAGAGAAAAAAATGACATAATCAACTTACAATCTTTATAGTCTTGCAAATATAACAGAAACAATTTAAAAAGTACAAAAAATTATTTAAAATTTCATCATCAAACTCATCATTCATCAGCAAGTTACCAATGTTTCACATCGGAGTTAAAAGAATGTCCAAATACCAAAAATAATACTGTCAATTAAAAAAAAGTAACACATTTACTCGCTGCAGCTAAAAATATAGTAGTGATGTATTTATCCATTGCAATAAAACAAATCAAATATTTAAGTTAAGACAGTCTAGAAGCAAGTTATTGCTTACGACTCCTTTAAGATTTAGAAAACACTGAAAAACCAATATTGATCACTCAAAGTAACTTGATCCACAGTATGAACTACTAATTAGATAAAAACTAAAACTGATTCGTACAAAAGCTAAGAAAATACCAAAAGTGACAACCTGCAAAACAAAGTGATATCCTAGTATAACAGATCTTAAACAAGTTCACAATTTATACAAAACAGTAAATTGAACAGTTCCAGACAATGCAAGACTGCCTCCAAAAATTCCTGTGGTCAGTAAAATAACAAAAGGACCACGCAATAACATGAATGCACAGTTATTGTGTACCGTAAATAGATGTACTCAACAAGACATCAAGTGAAGTCCAACAACGTCCAAGTATCCACCATAGTAATAAACATCTAACTATACACACACAGATATATCTACATTACCTAACTTCACAACATGTATAGTTTTAATGATTCTGCTATGAACTCAAAGAGATAAAAACAATGAAAAATCCGATAAAGATTATATCTTCACCTCAGCATTCAGATTGCATTTGATCATATTCTGCACAAATTCAATAACACCTCGCCTCCTCCTCTCGGAGACAACGGTCGCCTGGATCTCCTCGATCACTCCCGCTGTGGCTTTCTCAGCTGCCCTCCAGCTCTCCGCTCCGATCTCTGATGGATGAGGGTTCAAAGGCTGAGCCGCCGCCAACAGAGGAGGCGGCGGCGGACTAAAATCAGCCAATATCCCATTTTGATGAGGCAGCCAAGGCTGCAAGTCCCCCATAATGACAAACTCCAAGCTAACAACAGGAAATTACGCCAAAATTCCACAAAACCCAATAATTTTTTACAGGGTTTCACTGGGAAAAACTCATCTGGGCCACTCCCAAATGTGATCAAAACAGCGAGAAAAGGATCAGAGGAGGGTTTTAGGCGAGAATTTTGATATTGGTCAATGAGAAATCCCAACCCAAGAGCAAGAAACTACACGAATATTCCCCAAAACCCAATAAAATTCACGAGGTTTCAGTGAGAAAAAGTTATCTGGGTCGGCCCCAAATGTGATCAAAACCACGAGACAGAGATCAAGAGAGGGTTTAGGGGAGAACTTCGATCTGGGTCGATGAGAAAAGGGGCTTCGAAGGAGCTTGGGGGGTTTAATCTGAGGGTTTTGGTTTAGGGGGTGAGAGAAGAAGGCAAGGAGACGAAGGAGAAAAGAGCTTAATTTGTTTTTGTCTGTGAATTTTTTTGGAGAAAAGTTAGAAAGAAAATAAAATAAAATAAAAACAGTAGGAGAGAGAGAGGAGGGGCATGGAATTTAGAGATAACTCTCTGTCCTCGTTAATTGAATCAAGATGTTACCATATAAATCCCAATATTTTTCCATCCCTACTTTGACCTTCTGCATGTCACGCTGGCAATGATTATCCAAGATTATCCTTTTTTGGGGGGAATTTTTACTCAGATGGTATAGGCTCTTTTTTTTTTTATCGTGTTTTGCGATATATAGGAACACACCTTGTTCTTATTAAGTTAATATAAGGACTTTAGTTTTGAATAATTATGGTAACAATTGTAAATTCTAATGAGTAAAACCCCTCCTCCCTTCTTTTGTTTTCTCAGCATTAATGAGGTTACTAGCAATTAAGGAAAGGTTATTGCAAATAAGGGAGGAAATAATTAAAATGAGAGAGGTCAAACTAACAAGGGAATATTCATCCCCTCAGAACGCCTTGCATGCTGGTCTGGCGTTCTTATCCTCATCTAGGAGGATAGGGGGGGCTGTTTGGTCATTTTACTGCCTCTTCTCCCCATGTAAAACTAAAAACGGCCTACTTGCATGCAAGGTGTTCGGAGAGGATGACACTCGTCTAATGGGATTGGACAATTGTTGTTGCATGTTAACATGATAACGATTATCTAAGATTACTCTTTCTTGTAGAATTTTTTTTTACCCGAATGTTATAAGTTTTTTTTTCCATGTTTTGGAATAAATAAGAATTAAGTTTTCTTTTGGAATAAATAAGATTTAAGTTTTACTTTCTTTGAGTTGATATAATTTCTTTAATTTTGACTAATGATGCTACCAATTGTAAATTATTATGAGTCAAACTCCTCTCTTCTTTTCTCTTCTTAGCATTAATGGGCTCACTAAAAATTAAGGAAATGTTATTCTATGAAAGAGAATAAAATAATTAAAATGAAAGATGTCAAACTAATAAGGAGGGAATATTCATTTCTTTTGAACGCCTCACATGTAGGCCTGGTGTTTTTTTCCCCATCCAAACACCCTTTAACAATGACATGCTTGCATGCAAGGTGTTCTGATAAGGCGATAGTTTTTTAATTACATCTCTGTTTCTCATTTGTTGTCGTCGATGAAGGACATTGACGCAAGAATGTGAAACAATTAAACTTATTGATGATTTTGGGGGGGGGGGAAACTATTCCTAAAAGAGGTAGATTTCACACTTTCAGTTCGACAAACACCCCCTAATTTTTCATTATGAGAAATAAAAAGGAAAGATAACGATCTTGAGAGTTGTAGGCCCCTTGTTGATCTGTTTAGTAAGAAATTTGTTAACAAGCAGATCTTTTCGATTCCTTGCTGTCATGTTTATATAACGCTTTCATGGAGCTCACAAAAATTTGTGTCATTATCATAATTATTATTAAGAATCACGATGTTGGGTGCGTTCATTAAAGTGAACACGTGGGGAAATCTTTATACCTGTAAGCAGATATACACACAAACACACACATATTACTTATTATTTATTCAGAGAAATATCTAAAAAAAATACATTGAGCATAAAATGACTGGAAGAGGATGAGCTAGACTGAAGAAGCGAGGCGAGAAGTAAACCCAAACCTCACATTTTAATGAAACTTTACAATTAGACATTTCAACTTTATGAGAGAGAAATTAAAGCAGGCACAGCAAGTCTAGTTGAAGTAAATTTGCAATCATGAGTGATTTAGAATGGGAACATTGCGAAATACCTAATTATTTATATGAAACGCTACAAATAGTATGCTTTATAGGGACCAATCCATGAACTACCCTCGCCAACTTAAAAAGATAAAAGAAATAAAGAAAACATAAAATAAGGACAAATTTTTAAAATGAACCTTTTTTCAATTTTATATAGCAAAACCGACCTGATTAAAAAATAATCTGCAAAACCGACCTTTTTCCGAAGCAGATGCGACGTTTTTCGAGCTACACGGGACTGCTAGTCCCGTGTAGTTCGGCTAGCAATTGAAATGCACGGGACTAGCAGTCCCGTGCATTTCATTTTTCTTTCGGATAGTCTGCTTTTTACTCGGGACTATCAGACCCGAGTAAAAAGCAGTGACTTTTTGGGACACAAAACCAATTGCATGGGACTGCCAGTCCCATGCTTTTCGGGGACACACAACGAAATGCGCAGGACTAGCAGTCCCGTGTATTTCCTATGCAAAAAAACCAGCACATGTCGCTTTTCCTGTCAATTCCCTGTATAAACTCATATATCAAATCTAAAAATCATAAATTACACCATGGCATTTCCTGTCAATTCCTTGTATAAACTCATATATCAAATCTAAAAATCATAAATTACACCACAAACTCATTTACAAATTCAACAAATCACACCACAAACCCACTTACAAACCCAACAAATCATGCCACAAACCCACTTACAAATCCAATAAATCACACCACAGTCTCGGATACAAATCCAAAAACCATCTCACATCCCGAAATAGGTTTGTAATGTACATACCAAAATAGGATTGTAACGTATACAACAATAATGATTAGTTTACATACATCCAAGAACTCTTCTCCTCCTCCTTTGTCTTCGGCCTCCTCCATCCCGACCTAATATACAGGCACATGGTCAATAGAAGTATTACATATACACACAAACGCACTAGAGAGGAACTTCAATTTTGTTTCCAACAAAAGGTTTAACTTCGGTTAACGATGATCGGCTAATACTATATAATCATTCTCTGCATGTATATGCATGAAGATGTGCTCTATCGGAACCCATGCAACATTAACCAATGCGTATATGCATGAAGATATGTTACATCAGAACTCATGCAACATTATTTGTTTGTTTTCAAATTTTGAATCCATGTATTGTTTGTTTGTTTTCAAAAAAGACAAAGACTTGCAAGGCCCCATTAGCCACTTCGGACACCGGCGCATGGTAAAAGACTGGTATACTCATTATGGATTAAGATTTACAAACCTGAACTTTTTTTTAAAAAAATTGAATCCGGATGAGATTCTACCACTCCAACGCAAATACCACAACTACCATATATAACTGTCTTAACATATACACAGAAAGATGCAGAATTCATGAGTGAAGAATTCTTAATTTTAGAGAAATATTAATCACTCTAGGGCTTATCACAGTAAAACTCATCGGTTAATTTTAATTTAGTTTATTTTTCTAAAGAAAATTATTATAACTTTTTTCCCTCCCAAAGTCGACTTTGAGCATGTTTAGAAACTGGTCAAAGTGACTTATAAGCCAAAATAAGCCACATAGTTTGACCGAGTAAAATATCACTTTACCCCTTAGCATTTAAGAAAATATAAAAATCCCTTTTCTCCATCTCCAGTCTTTTTTTAATCGTTTTGATAATAAAGATAGATTATAAGCAACTCATCTATCAAACTAATATTAAAAGACTAGTACGCTGAGCACTACTCAAGTTGGATGTATGACATATCCTCGTACCAAGACTTTTTGAGCACACCATTGATATCTACTTTCGATTTCCGTGCGTCAGATACGGACACAATTAAAGAAACACGGGCAATCAAATGAAGCATGAAAAAAACGTTGAAATGCAGCACAAAGATCTCATAATGAACTTGCACCAATATCCATTAAAAAACTAGAATAATTTTCCCGCCGGTACAAAACTCTCGGCTTTTGTTGGTACAAAATAGAGAAAGAAGGCGGCTCAACAAAAGCTACAGCAAACAGAAACATTCTCAGTTTGGGTGATGCTCTGATGTACTTCGACAAAAGTACTCTCTGAATAAGGCAACGGAAAGCAATAGAGAACCTGAGAGCAGCAGGAGTTGTCTCAAGGGCAAAAAGCTGCAGCAAGCACGCGCTGCAGTTTAGGCGCATCATCCTGCATCAAGAAACAAACACAAGAACATTTCTTATTGATGATTAGTAATTAACGAAGCCAGTCGGTATCGTATTTATAGCATTTCGAAGAGGGAAAAAAAGGTCAATAAGATGTGTAGATTCATTTCACTCGACCAGCTATCAATATATGTTGGTCAAGATAACCATGCACCGAAAGAAAGTGGGAGATTGTTGTCAACAATCTCAAACCACAGATGAGCTACATTTGTTGACAATGAGAGAGAGAGAGAGGAGCCACTCGGTGAGAAGAATGACAGAAGTCATTAATGGATGCTAGCTTTCGGTGATTTGTTGACAAGAGGGCTATCGTTGTTGACAAAGAGAGAAAAGAAGGTGATTGTTTCTCTATATAAGCATCCGAGAGAGAGAGTGACTAGAAAAAAAATTCATCAGAGCTTGAGAGATGAGTTATTGAGAGTGATTAAGAGAGCAATTAGACTTGTTGTGCGCAGCGGAATCGAAATCAAATCCGAGATAGGAGCACAAATCAACACCCAAAACAAGCACCACACAAGCAAGACACCAAATTTACGTGGTTCGACAATGTGCCTACTACGTCCACGGGGCAAGGAGGGGATAGATTTCACTAATAGAGAGAGAGTACAAATAGAGATTACAATCACTCAATAATCTCACAAACAAATCACTCTTGATTTGTACCTCTTCTCTCAAGCTCTCTCACAAAATTGCCCAAATAACAAACTCTAATTGCTCTTTTAATCACCTCTCAATAACTGATCTCTCAATCTCTGATAAATTTTTTTCTAATCACTCTCTCTCGGATGCTTATATAGAGAAACAATCACCTTCTTTTCTCTCTTTGTCAACAACGATGACCCTCTTGTTAACAAACCACCGAAAATTAGCCTCAATTAATGACTTATGTCATTCTTCTCACCGAGCGGCTCCTCTCTCTCTCATTGTCAACAAATGTGGCTCCTTCTTTGTAGCTTGAGATTGTTGACAACAATCTCCTCCTCTCTTTCGGTGCATGCTTATCTTGACCAACAATATATTCTTTAGTGATGAGGCGATTAAGCCCATCATGCTAGACACAGCAGAGCCCACTATTCCTTTCTTTTGGTAGCTCAATCTAATAAACGGGCAGCTATATTAAAGACTTTATCCCAAATTTTAGGGCCGTTACATGAATAATATATTCTTCCATTTAGTTATTTAAGGGTCATTATCACATTGCTCCTAGTGTCGAACCAAGTTCTCTCAAAAGGTCTCCTAGTTAAGGGTTATCCTTCATCCCATAATGTTGGGGTTCTTACATAGATCATAATCTTCCATTCAACTTTATAAGGGTTATCCTCCGTTAAGGAGATCATTGTCAGTTTGTCACATCCTTATTAATCACCTCTAACCAAGTTTTCTTAGGGCATGTTTGGATTTTGTTGGGGGTAGGAGAAGTTGAAATTAGGAGGGAGAATGAAAAAGGGAAGTTCCCTCACCCTCAGTTCCACCTCAATTTGCGGGGTACAAATTTTGTATTGCTGGGGTGAACTTAGGAGAACTAGGGGGGACACTCTACCCCTTAAAAGCTATCAAAACGGGGTGAATTGTCTCCCCTACCATTCCTTCTCCTCTATACCCCTCAGTCCAAATAGGGCCTTAAGCAAACACTTCCTCCTCCTTGTTAAAGGTTTATCCTTAGCTCCAATTATTTTGCTTGTTACATGAAACATATTCTTTAGGGGTTATCCTTAAGTTCATTAGCATATCCTTCTTAATTGCTTACAACCAAGTTCTCTTAAGCATATCTCTAGTTCTCCTTACACAGGTTAGCCATAATGTTATCACTTAGCCTGACTAGCGGCTGGTGCACATTTAGTGTCCTTCGGTCCACATGACCAAACCATCTCAATTGACACCTCTCAGTTTATCCTCAATATGAATGCCCTCTAACCTCCCATGCATGCATTCATTTTTATCCTGCATCTTAGTGAACATCTGTGCATACAATGTGACATTCTCATTTCCAGTATTCCCATCCAAGAATGGTAAATATAAACAACCAATAAAGAGACAGCAAGGCAAATTACAGGATTTATAAGTTTCTCATCAGAAGAAAAGTAGCAGCCTACTCCATGAAAGTTTTAGGAAAACTGCCTAACCATCATAAAATATTCAACTTAAAACATTTTTCTTCCGGTTTCAATGGTAGAATTACCCTGTTTTATACCTTTAAATATGAACAGTGTTAATGAAAAAAGGCTTCAATGGTAGAACTACCCTGTTTTACACCTTTAAATATGAACAGTTTTAATGAAAAAAGGCGGGGTTTGAGAACCAATGACATAGGCAGCTGAAGAAGCATAAAAATGACAATGAAACCATAGGGCAAAATTTCTGTGTTGCCATGTGCATCAAGGAAATTGTGTGATGTTCCAAGAAAAGCCCCTACGAAAACTATTTCTTTGACATATGCTGGAATATACAATGTAAATAATATTAATAATCATTTCCCATCTTTAATGGCCAGAAAGCTAAAGCATATAAAAGCTAGTTGGCAAAGTGAAGCAGACGGTGATTACTATCGGGACCAGTTCGTCCCAAAGGCATGGCATAAAAAACCAATGGGGCAGACATCCAGTCCCGGACTCTCAAGCTCTACCATAATAGCAGACAGGTAATTTGGTTACTAAAGTAGAAAATAGAAGAACAAAAAAAAATAGAACTAATTGTGATTACACAAACAAATTTGAAAAAAGAAAATAAAAATAAAAACTCTACAATCATGGAAAACCAACCAATTACTAGCTCTTATTTAGAGTATGTTTCAAAAACACCGAAATTTAAAATATGTTGAAAAAAATATCAGTATCTTAAGTATGAAGGCTTCTGAATGGTATATGGGTTGAAAATATACAAAGCAATAACCAAGAGACAAACCAAAAAATACCCGTGAACAGATATAACCTGTGAATACTAGAATTTAGAAGTCCCAACTCAAATAAATGACTGCAAGCAGGCGCTTGAAAACAAAGAGGAACATTTGTCATCAACAAAAAACCCTACATTGCACAATTTTAATTTATGCTTCTGTTGACACGTACATGGTCGTAAGATGTTTCCCATGAACGTAACGCCTTTCAAAAGCAAAAATCTACAAACATGATACAAGATGCTAGGCTGACGAGAATAATCTAGAGTAGGAATCAAGTATAGAAAATTTTTAAAAAAAACATTTTTTTACTTCAAATTTAAAGAACTATTAATATCGTGAATTTTATTACTTTTTCCTTGATAAACTATTAAGGATTTGCCAACAACTTCCCTTTTGAACCCCGTAACTATCAAGTGGGTATAGATCCTATTATTATGATGGACAAATTTCAAAGACATAGAAAGTAATAATATTTTGGTGAGACTTTAAAAAAGTTCTTTTTTACTCTTCCTCTTAAACAGTTGATATTCTAAGAAACATTTATTAAAATAATCATAAACAACATATACTTACAAGCAACCACTTGACAACTATTAAGTTTCAATGCCAATGGCATTAATGCCAAAGTTAAGGTGGAAAAAATAGAAGGAGACATACCTTCCGTCTGAAGTGCTGAGGAGGCTCGCGGTTTCTCCTTTTCTCACGAGATCAAACCCTAACAACATGAGAGTGGATTGCACAAGAGACACAGTACTGCACCTTGGCATAAAGCTTGGGCAGAGCGTATCCTTGAAAAGAAAAAACATTATTTCAGAATAAAGGAACAAAAACGAGTACAGAAAATACTGAAATAATGCCGCTGTGTACCATCATAGACACAAGCCTCCTAGACATCCCTTACAGCGGCTTGCTCAACAATATTCCTGACAAGAAACCTCTTAATGGCATTGTCCTGCAAAACGCCAGAAACGCAATCAGCTTTCAGATTAAAGCAATCCATAAGCAATAAATAATAATGGATACAACAGAATGATTAAACAAAATATCCAGTATAACAATGCAAGGCTATATGTACATATATTATCAATGATAGACCTAAGGAGGAGGTATCTATCTTTTAAAGGGCTAATTGGTTGCAATGGCTGAATGTACAGCAGAAGATTACAACAGAATAATTGTCAAGAAATACAAGGGTATATTTCACAAAGTTATCATGAGCTATGGGGGATTGACTACGATAAACTGCTCTTACTAGAGAAAAGTATCGCATATTTGCAATCAACGGGAAAACTACATGGTAGTTACTTAATAACACCTCAAAGACCACGACAGTTATCTGAAAATTCAAGATAGTTTTACCTACCATCAACTACTATTATTTAAGAAAAGCCACACTTTTGGCCAATAGTTTTGGTTCCACCCTTATCTATTACTAGGTGGAATGCACATGGTCAAATATTATAATTGATGATTTTTAGTTTGCATTTACTATAACATAGTTGCAAAAAAGTTTATGATCATCATAATATATTAAAAAGTTTTAGATATTTTAATATATAAAATCTTGTTGGTTTCAACACTTTACCTTACACATAATTAGTGAGGTATAAAATCTTAAAATATTAATGATCTAAGAGCAATTTAATGATTTGGAATTCTAATTTTAAAATATTAATGATGCAAGCACCAATATCTAAAAAACTATTATTATTAATAATAAATAAATCGTGAATTCATCAACGTAAAATGGTAGGTTTATCTAGTCATAGAGGATTTTGTTTAATTATAAAGAAATCACTCGCGCCTATTGTCTACTTCCACTTTCTATTATCTGGTGACCAAGTATTATAATTTATAGATATTCAAAAACTTTTTTAATGAATTTTTAAAGTTAGAATGTGCAAATTCAATCAAGAAAGAAAATATAAATTATGTGATCAATTTCAAAATCTGATATTATAATCTTCCAACACCTTCTCAACTAATTAATTAATTTGTCAAAACATTTACTCTCTAATTTTAGAAAACTATAAAATATAATTTGAGAATGATTTTAAACATATTTTGTACACATATGGATTGTATTTTAACAAAATAATATAGATCTATCCAATATTGAATAATATCCAAAAATTTAAGCTTTAACAAAATAATATAGATCTATCCAATATTGAATAATATCCAAAAATTTAAGCTAAAGAGTTAAAAGAATCTAATAACACAGATCTATCCAATATTGAATAATATCCAAAAATTTAAGCTAAAGAGTTAAAAGAATCTAATAACACTCACATCCAAACTGTATGTTTCATAAAGGTGAGACATATAAAATGAACATCTTAATTTATTTTGTTAAATAATTTATTACAAATCATAAAAGATAAGAAGAACCATAAAGATCACATAGTCATCCCAAATAAAGATTAAATTTCTCACTGCGAATTTTGTAGCAAAAGATTTTCAGAGATATTGATAGGCTTGCTATAAAATCCACTCTTATAAGATTGATGTCACATGTGTCTTAAATTGTGTTTTGTTTAAAGGTTAATTTTAGAAAACTTCCCCTCAACTATGGGGGAAATGTTAAAAATCCCCCCCCCCCCAAAAAAAAAACTTGAAATGAGTAAATGTTTGTTTGTCAAATTTGGGGTGTTATAGGTAATCTATCTCAACTTCAAAATTTTGATTTAATCCTATAAACTTTCTCAATTAACCCCTCAAAACTAATATCATTGAGTCGAATTCATTATGTGATAAGTACTTGACTTGGAAAGACCAAATATTCCTCAACCATAAAAGAATTGGCTTGATTTTTTGCTAGATGAAAAAAGTGAAGATTTAGAGGTAAAAAAAATTTGTAAATTGGTCGTAATCCTTTTATTATCGATTGAGAGTTTCTTTTAACTAAAATGGCTTTCTTTAATAGGGCATGTTGACAAAATCACTTATTAAAATTTTTTACATTAAGGGGGTTTGTTAAGAGATGTGTAAAAGACCAAGAGAATTTTTATAAGCCACGCTAAGTCGAAGGGTGTTTTCTAAAATCGCACCAAAATTGAGAGGGGTTTATCTACAACACCTCTATAGTTAGGAGGCTCTGTCAAATTAAATTAGTTGAGTGGTTTTTTTGAGACATTTCCCATACTTGAGAGAATTTTCAAAGAATTAACTATTCTTTTAAATTTAGCTCAAATATTTTATAATTCTATATTAGTACCTAAATTATAAGCAATTTCAAAAATTTAAGGGAATAATGTAGAATTATTGAAGATTTAAAATCAATGAAATGATATCTAAATTACCTTTAAATATTGCTCTTATAGGCAATATATGAAATATTGGTTGATATATCGCTCTATCGACTGATATAAAAGGTTAAATACTTTATCTTAATAATATTTATGGTTTTATATTATTTTCTTTATTTGAGGATTTTTTTCGCATATATCGATCATTATTGAAAATATTGGCTGGTATAACAAAATCGAGTTATTTTTAATTTTGATTGTGGGCTTGCTATTAGGTCGTGTTTGGAAACCAAAACTAAAGCACAAGTCACAAAAACCACAATTCATATCCCAAACTCTCCACTCTCAGCTCTCTCAAATCTCAAGCATATATCTTGACGCAAATTCTTATGTTAAAAATTCATCAATATCTAAGATTATAGATCAAAATGTTGTATTATGTATGAGCATTATCTCATATGGCACCCATATATTTTTTACATAACCCCGATTATTGAAATGCAGTATCATGGATTTTATTTATCCAATACTTATGATGCCCAACACTTTGTAGTAGTCCTTCAAAAGCCTCTTCTAAAGCTTTCTAAGCAAAGTATATAAATTCAGAAATAATTCAGAAATAAATTTAGAAATATGATGCTTTAATTTTCCCACATTTCCTCTAGCATACAAATATAAGCGAACCCTCAGGCCTCATATTATATGATGAAAATTATTTATCAAAAGGATCGCATACTATTGCTTGTGGTTAACAAAGACTTTAAAAATTTATTGGCTTAATTAAATTAAATACCTGAGTTTGAATTGTGTGCACACGCATGGCGTGCACAAGAAATACCGGTAAAACATAAATGAAAGTTCATGTATTCAGTTTGTGGCTAGTCTCCCATACCAAGAGGCATTTCGTGCTGCTTTTTAAAATTTGTGTCGCTTTTTTCCGTACTTTGTGCAAAATCACTAATTACACATGGTAGTTTCATAAAATTACCCAAAAATAACGACATTGTTCCAAGTTAAAACTTTAAGGGGAGGCCTATCCGAAAAGAATCAGACCCAAAGGTCGCGATTATAATTTACAATCAATCACAGTAAACAACAGAAATGGCATAACAGTCACAAGTTGATGGCTTGATGACCTAGGGTTTGATATCGTCAAGGGATCGAACCTTAGGGCAGCATTTGCCGCAGTTGGGGCACCGGATGAAGTTGACGTGGTCCCTCCCATGCTTGTTGCGGCCCAGCCATTTCTGCGCTCGAAAGTCCGCAGATTGACAAAACAAACATCCTCAATCAGTCGCTAGATCGATTCAAATACACGAGAAGATGATTCGAGTGAGATCTAGGGTTTCTGGTCTTAACATCGCTGGAGGTTGAAGACGATGACAAAGGGAAGGAAACCCTTGACGATGGCGGCCGTCGTTTTGATGGGTCGTTCTAGGGTTTTGGATTGAGAGGTGTCATTTATTGAGCGGTGGTGAGCTTTTTTACGTATACATCCTTCAAACTATGCGTTTTCACATTAACTCTTTGAGATTTTCATATATACACTCAAATCATTTATATTTGCAGACTTATCCGTCGGTTCATGAATTTTTAAAATGTTTGGTTAGAAACAAAAAGGTTGAAAAATAAAGCTCCCATTCAGTAAAGG